CCATCAGAGGCACGATATTTATGGTGTTGGCTTTCTGATGTTCTACAAAGAAGGAATTATAGTTTATTTACATTAATAAACTAAAAGGTATGTTTTCTATTAACCCTTTTCTATTTTCCAAAATAGCAATGTACTTTAGGTTTCTTGAATTAAAATTGTTGTTTTCATATAATAGTAAGAACATAGATCCTTTATCCAAAATATGATTTTTGTTATATATAAAACCCATCAAGGACGACCATTGATACCCAATATATAAAGAGAGAAACAAACTTTAGTTATTTGATTTAGTCCTTAAATAATTACCCAATTTATTTCAAAGCTAGGATCCATATTTTCAATCTGATTTATGAATAGGGATACCATATTCATATCACGAATTTATCTTAGGTAGGTAATGCACTTTACCAATTTCAATCATTATGAAATTCCTAGATCTTTTGAGATTCATTAAAACTATTCAATGATAGGTTAATCTTATATTTGCACATCCTCTATTTGTGTATAGGATACCGAGGTCTCAAAAATAAGATTGTAAATCAACCACGAAAAAACACAAGACCCTTTGATTATGTAATGGTCCTCAAATTGACGTGCTGGTTACGTACACACGCTACACAAACAAACTACAACTGTGACAATTGGGAAATTTCCGTCAACGTCTATCATTAGAGATTAGCACCGACAGATGATGATAATAGAACTTTTCATATTTTAGGAAAAATATGATCAGTTAGATAATAATAAAAGGGTAAAAAATGAATGACCAAAAAGTTACACCACTTTTAAATAATGATTTGTGTATTTGGAAAGTACTCATCAAAATGATCCCAAGGATATAAGTGTTGTAAAAATCTGACTCCGATTGGAGGAGTTATGATTTTATAAAGGGAAAATGACATATATGCCCTATAATATTTCTAGGGTTTACCCATTTAACCACTTAACTTATTTTGTGGCTTAATAAGGGAACCAAGTATATGTTACCTATCAATATAATCACTTTCACCTATTGTAGTCGGTTTACATTTCCAAATAAGCCTAGCCTAACACGTAAGCAATGACATGGAAAGAATTTAAATCGTCCAACAACCGCAACAACATTGTATTGAATGTGAATCGTCACGAGCAAGCTTCGACTGTTCACGCACCTCCGTATAAAATTAAGACTTTGTTGCCGTATAATGGGACATATGCAAACTTCATTACCCCAATCTAGTCTCTAAGTTTACTCCAAAATGCCTTCAATTGAACATACAAAACACAAATGGTCTCCAAACTACCGCCGTCACATGGATGAGAATCATTCCAATGGTGTAATCAACGAAGACATAGCCATCAATCTACTGCAAACCCAGCTGGAATTGTCTCTTATAAGGGAGGTTCCAAGACCAGTTGCGTGAGCTCCGATAGGCTGTTAATCGAGACTTGGATGCCATGAGTCGTGAGGTCGATGACATTCGCGATGGTAAGTTGGATATTTCTCATCTCGTTGCTAATCTTAAGAATCACTTCGTTTCTCGGAAAGGATCATATGTGAAGATGGTCTTCCAACACAACATAACAAAGTTAAGTATTGTCTTGGGATTGTTGGTGTTGTTACTGTGCCTGTGGTCACGTATATGTTCTTTAACTAAAAAAACATGTGTAGGTTAAAGCATTTTTGTCTTGGGTTTTTGTTTTTCTATGTTATTTAAGGTTTTTAGGGTCGATATTAGTAGTAGATTTTGTGTCTGTTTGTGGTAATAGTTTGTGTTGTTAGTTCGTAAATCTGGTGGTGGTGTTGCCTGGGCTGATGATGGTCATCGCTTTTTGATGAAGTTTTTTGCTGAAGGTCTTTGTAATAGGTTATGGAACAACAGAAAGTGATGTAAACAAACCCATAGCTGAAATGTTTTTCAATATGTTATTATAAAAAAACATCTTACATCCGTTTATGTGTGTGTGCATGAACGAATGAAACATTTGGGATTATATATGTTTCCTTAAGTTGTTCCTAATCATGTGGATTTTCATCGAATGGGACGGGACCACAAGCCAAAGAAAAATGAATATACCTTTTTTATGCACATACTCAGGGTCCAAAAATGGTGCAGTTTGGGAAAAGGGACAAAAGTAAACAATACCTTTGCACTCGTGGCATTGTGTCTGCTTGTCTGTAAAGCTTTTTGGGAAAAAAAAAACTTTTCTAAAGTGGACTTTTTCCTTGTTTGATTGTTAATGGAATAATAAGCATATAACGTTGTAAAAAATGGTCAATTTATTTATGACTTAATTACCCCCACATCCAAAATGGTCAATTTATATGAATTAATTACCCCCACATCCAAAATAGTTAATATATCTGACTTAATTACCCTCACATCCAAAATGGTCAATTTATATTACTTAATTACTCTCACATCCAAAATGGTCAATTTATATGACTTAATTACCCTCACATAAAAAATGGTCAATTTATATGACTTAATTACCCTCTCATCCAAAATGGTCAATTTATGTGACTTAATTACCCTCACATCCAAAATGTTCAATTATTTATATGACTTAATTACCCCCATACTTGATTACATAATGTAACTGTCTAAACCATCGTAAATGACCAAACTACCTTTACACTTTTGTGTAGTTTGTACTGACTAAAATGCCCATAATACCCTTAGATATCTATGGCATGGAAAAATATACCATACCATATAACAACATACAATAAAACAACATAGCATAACATAAAAGAACATAACATAGATCATGTGTTTATTGCAACACACATTCACTACAAATACCAAACAATTATTTAATCCAACTCCGTGGTCGTTGCATGACTGCTACCTTCACCTCCCACATTTTTAGCAAGCTTCATTTTAATGATTCTTTCTGATTTCTTCTGTTTCTTAGGTTGTTTAACATACTGAACTTGATGAACACGAGAATTGACCTTCACCCGTTCCTCCTATCCATTTACTCCCACCATTTTCTCTTCCTTACCAGTCATCTCCAATGCATCACTAGTATCAACCATTACCTCATCATTCCCAACCCCTTTGGTAACGTTTACAGACTCCTGCATAAGTATAATTTTTTGTTTCTCTATCCCATTTTGTTTGGATGTCCCTAAAAATTTACTACAAGTAACCATGTTGTGACCTTTCTCTTTGCATATGCTACAAGAAACCTTCTTCCCTGCCTTTGAAATGGTGTGTTTCGCCATCCATTCAGAAGCATCCCTTCTTCTCTTTATGGTTGGCCTACCTGGCATACGTCTTTTCAATAGGGGCAAAGGGGGTATCAAGTTAGTAGAAGGCCACATATTTTGTCCATTCTTCCCATGGATTGGCTATTTGTAAGTATTATGGAAGAATGCAGCCAAGTACATTGGATCTACATATGGACCATCAGGTGTGATATTTAAGTAGGCTAAGGCGGCAACTAAATGTACGCAACCATATCCATTAACTTGCTATAGCCTGCAATTGCATTTTTTTCAACATGAACAATATACGCCTCGTCCATTTTCTTTGCCTCAAACTTCATCCCCCCCACAAGATATGACTTGGCAATGCCTACATAGATGAAAACCCAAATATCATGAGATGTGAACAATAAGGTTTGGATGTTTGGATAAATGTACAAACATTTGTTCAGTCTGGAGAACATTCAACTGTATTTTGATATTGGACAAACAGAATAATGATTCCATCCTTGTCTGGTTAGTTTCATAGTCACCATCCTTTGCATCACATATATATGAATGTCCTCTAACATGCTTACGATTGGTTTCTTCCGGTCATCCAAAATCACACTACTAAAACTCTCTGAAAAACCATTCTCTACTGACTCACAAGAGTTGTGAACTCTGAAAAAAGCCAAAGACCAAGTCTTTGGATCTCTATCCATAAGATGCAAAATTGCTTCCGTATTTAACTTTTCAATCTCTTTCATAACTACATTAAAATGTGCTTCAGTTGTTGCCTTGCTTGCTTTCCAAAGTAAATTTTCAAACTTGGCTCCACTGAATCTCTTTCTAAAATTCACATAGATATGTCTAGCATACTGCCTATGTTCGGCTATTGGAAATACTTCTTTTACTACCTCAATCAGACCCTACATAAGTCACAATAATGCTTGAAATTAGAATAGCAATTACTAATTTTAGAACATGAAATAGTTATGAACCATATCTTGTGTTGATCCGAAATTAAAACCAAACATTGTCCGTCATTCCAACATTGTAAATCTTACGAAAGAGTATTTATGAACCATTTCCAATTCTCCTTGTTTTCCACATAAACAACCACCTAAGCAATCGGGAATATTCCATTGTTAGCATCTCTACCCACAGCACAAAGCAACTCCCCTTGGCAAAAACTTTTCAGAAAACAACCATCCAGGTTAATGATCCTCGTACATCGTCCCCTTCATCCCACTTATAATGAAGCAAAACATATGTATATCTTGCTAAAATAATTCTTACCATCATGCATTGCATCAACACAAATTTTAATTGTGGATCCAAGATTTGATCTTATAATCTCTTCACAATATGATCATATTCTTGCATAATTTTCAACTACTGCGCCTTCAGCTAGACTTAATGCATACTTCTTGGCTCTCCTATATTGACTCATACTCGCATCGGTCCCAAAAGCGATTTTGACATCCTCTCCAAGCAATTGGATGCTCATATTTTGATTGTTATAAAATTGGTGCTTAAAGTGGGTCCCTATCCAGTTGTAAGTCACAATTGATCCGAATTTGAAATTCATTGCACAATTATGCTCACCAATAAGAGACTTTATCTGCAAAGACTTATCATCCGTCATCAAAAAACCCTAAAGCCTAAAAGTACATTTTCCATTACAACATTTGGCAAGTAACCGTCTAGTATCATTCTTAACAAAACATAATTGATAACCATTTGCAATAAAATAGTTACAAAGCACGTGTCTCACTTGTTAAGGACTCTCAAACCTCATACCTAACATAGGTTCCTGCTCCTTCTAAATGAGCTTATCATTGAAAATATTTGGCAATTCGGGATAAACATCTTCATTGTCAGCTATGTCTTCTTTGAAAGACTCACCTACACTTATATTCTCAGCCATGTCTACCTGAATCCCATTATCCTTTATGAAAAAATGAGGCTTTTGATGGTCATCATCATCGTTATCGGCATCCTCATCCTCGTCATCATCCTCATCGCCATTCTCTTCCTCATCGTCAGTGTCACCCACATAACGATGCCCTATTGTAACTTTTTAAACAAGTCCTGCACCATCAAGTACCTCTTCCTCTATGTTACCAACAACCTCGTCTTTGTGTTCATCCAACCATTCCTGCATGTTACTATTCCCAAAATGGTCTACATACATTGGGAGTATAACACCACATTCCTATGGAATTGCTATGAAGTTGAAATAATCTGGGTTATTGCTAATTAAAGTCAAACCTTTTGGAAAATCAACATTAGGTTGGCAGTAATAGAGTTTCTCATACTGCTCCCCAGTGAACCTTTTGATAAACACAACACACCCGTCCTTGTCCATGGTTGCGAAATCAATGTCCAAAAACCTCCGAGTAATACCACCGGTATAGCGTATGCGGTTTCTGCCAAACATTCCTTATAAGTGGACATCTATCTGTAAGAATATAGGTTCCATGTTTGTGGATTCAGAAGAAGATCACAAGAAAGGGTTTATCGATGAAGTTTTGAACAATGGAGGTAAAAGGGCTATTTTATAAAGCATATACCGATAGTAAGAAGGAAGCGACTAATTAATGACATGCCATTACATGGAAGTCACAGTCAGCATCCAATGTGGTGTTAGTAGAATGAGGTGGACAAAAAATTACTGGATGACCCCTTCACAATTGAAATAAGGACCTAATTGACCCGACAAAGTGTAATTCGTTCCCTTATTAAACCACAAAATAAGTTAAGTGGCTAAATGGGTAAACCCTAGAAACATAATAGGGCATATATATATGTCATTTTCCCTTTTATAAAAGATAAAAATCAACCGCGTTAATAACACTATTCTTGTTAAAATGGCACAAAAAAATCGGTTGAGTTTTGGCTAACCCCATTAAAAGGAAAATCGTAGTACTCCGAGAGATAAGAACTTTAAAAAGAAAAAGGTCAAAAATGGAGTTCGTATGAAGGATATACGATTTTTAGAAAAAAATAAAATACGAGTTAAAATTATAAGTTAAAAAATGACAATGCAACCTTAAGGAAAGTTGTAGTATTCGTAGAGAGCTGCATAAATATATAAAGCGGGTAAGAAAAAATATTCATATAAGGAATATATGAATTTTTATAAAAGATTTAGAGGTGCACGCCAAGTGCATGGCATGCTCAACGCACATGTCTGACACTCAAATGGTTGAGATTAGAGACACATGGACCATCAGAAGTGTGACACGTGGCAAACTCTAGATGGAGCTACAAGTTGAGTGCACCTTGTGCGTGAATTGATCCGCATGCTCAAGCACTATAAATAGAGATTTTCAATTCCTAATTTCTTTACAGCCAAAACTCTTTCTCTCAATCGCTCAAGCTATTTCAAAAGTCCTCCCAATGGAAGGAAGCTTCAGATGCAATAACATGGAAGCCTCAGATTATGCTACTAGAGTTATAAATATCAAACGTTTTATAAAGCTTGAAACCTTAGGATAATATAGTTATAGATACTATACCTAGTTGTATTATGCCTAAGAGGTATGATGCGCGATAATCTAGGAAGAGATATTACCTAGAGGTTATAGTGGTCTATTTTCTAGTATAACATTGTACCTCGAAGTAATGTTGGTCAAATATAGGGAAATGCATTGTACTTGATCATTACTCTACCTAAATATCAAGTTTTTAAATAACCAATATTACGGTGTGCGTATGTGTGTGTGTGTGTGTATATATATATATATATATATATATGTGTGTGTGTGTATGTATGTATCGCAAAATAAAATATATACATGTATACACAAGATAATTATGAAATCCAAAAGATATAATCATCAAATCTAAAATTAAATGGGTTTATATTGTGATAGTTTTAGGAAATCACTTAATAAGAAAGAAAAAAAGATAAAATACCTAAGGTTAATGCGTTAGTTAGCTATTGATATTCATCTAATAGCCTTGATTAAATTCTGCTACCTCGAACCTATAATCGTTAATATTTTGAGACCTAGAAAGATATATATGGATATATACGAGATTGACAACCCCACCTGTGATTGCTAGCTAAAATCCTAGCAGGATAACTTTCTATCACTATTCAACGTCCAATTAAGCATTGTGGTGGGGGAAATCATTAGTCAAACAACGTCGATTATGGGGGCTCATGGTAATACATTACAACCATCTTAGAGATCAGACTACCAAAGAGGGACGCCTTAGAGTGGTAGATAAAATACGTTAGAATTGATAAAATATCCTAAAAAGATAAGAAATTAGGATCGGTAATATCCTAAAAGATAATAAGATAGGATCGATAAATATCCCACAAAATATAGTAAATTATCATTAGTAAAACATCCTAAATGATAGGATCGATATGTATCCTACAAAGAAATTAAATTAGGATTGGTAAAGCATCCTAAAAAGATTGTAAGTTAGATTTTGTAAAACATCCTATAAGATAGGATTAGCAGAATGTTCCAAGAAAATAATAAGACAAGAGGTAATATAATAAAGCATAGGAAACCAAGATTTTAAGAATTGTAAGAATTTATAAAAATCTTTTGAAACAGCTCATTACAAAACTTGTAAAATCACCAACATCAAGTTGACATTTCCAAAAATCACACATGTTCCTAGGATTGAATAAGGATCATGGCAATCTATGTACTATCAAGACTCAGCATTTTCGCCAGCGAACGGAGAATGTGTGACAGAATGGTATCAGAGCTAGTTGCTATAGCAAATTAGTACTTCTTTAGGAATTATGACTATAGCTTAGGACGTATACTCTGATTATGTTTTCCCTCAAACCTATAAATAAAAGTATTACTATTAATTATCCTATAGATAGACTACTTATTGGAGAGGTGACTAGTTTAAACTGTTGCTTGGGTTGTTGAATTTCAGAATAGATATATGCTAAAATGGTCCTACCCTCCGACACTTCTCATCTGGCCAATCCCTATTTTGGTAGTCTAGAAGTACAAAACAATAATAGCCGCCAACGATAAATAAAGTATACAAATGAAAAATGAAACTCATATATATATATATATATATATATATATATATATATATATATGTGTGTGTGTGTGTGTGTGTGTGTGTGTGGGTATAAATAAATAACATAATTTTCTAAGTTGGTTCTGTATGTAAAGGTTGAGTCACTCTTAAATATAGCCTGATCACGTATGTTTAGTATTGACTAAACCAATACATCGATTGAATTACGGTTAGATAAATGATGAAATAGAAACCACATATATATATATATATATATATATATATATATATATATATATATATATATATATATATATATATATACAAACACAAAAGCATAGATAAATGTATCAAATATATCCCACAAAATAAGTAAAAATAAGTATCATAATACAAACCACCAAGCTACTGGTTGCTCTCATACTCACCCTCCTCATCCTCCATGCCCTCGTTACTATCATCATCAGTATCCCCATAATGTGTGCCTGTAGGACCAGCACCATCATGACCAAGTTGAGCAGGTGATGGAACAGCAAGACCCGCATGGGGAAAAGGTGGATGGTTTATCCCCAGATATTGCATCTCCCCAGGAAGTGAAGCCATGATCCATCAATGCTCCTCCTCTGCAACATCCATATGCCACATCATATCACGCAGAGTCAACTCCGGTTGGTCAGGCTCTGCATGCCTCGGTGTATGACACCTCTCAAAGGCAGGCTCAGGGATGTCCTTTGACTCCACCTATCTAATCGGGTCCATGATATCGTCATCCAGAATCCTCTACTGACAACCTACTCCCCGAACCAACACCCGCATCTTCCCTAGAGTGGTGGTAATAATGTATCTGATAGGAATATGAACCATACCAATAGTGTCAACCTCATAAGATAGGGACAACCGAGTACCCAGTGACCCCTTCAAATCCTGGTCGAAGGCATGGAATCTAGAGCCGTACCAGACAAATAGGGAGTTAGGGAAAAATGAAGATGGAGGAATACCATAGTCTGAGTAAGGGACCACATAGAGAAGAGGTCGCCATAAGAACCTACTCACACTCCTCGCGATGACAAATAGTATAAGCGGCCAATCGATGGATCAACCAATAAATAGGAGATCTGAAGGCACTCTCGTTGGTCGTCTTAGAAACAAAGGTCCCCCAAGCGTAACCCCAGACCTGCATATAGTTCTACTTCTATGGTGGATCAATAATATAGTTGTCAAGATAAACATAAAATGGCGGAATCATAGTCTCTTCCGTTGTGTAAATTCCTATATGTCTCCCCAACTTGATCAGGCTATAGGAACAGGATACGCCTCCTAGGAGACAAGTAAAAACTAATCTATTCGCCCATCACGTTGAATCCTTGTCAAAGAGGACTGTCAAAAAAGAATTTCTAGTAGAGATCTTTGTAGACCACCTCCCGAACACCAAGAACTCACCACCTTCTCTTCCGAACAAAAATCTCAAGACCACTATCATCCCGCAAGACACGTGTAACAAACAACCCCATATGAGCCATCAACCCAGACTCGTTCGCCACCCTCCAAGAAAGAGCCTGGGGAATACTATTCTTCATGGAAAGAAGAGCAATCAGGCGAGAGACAAAATAGCTCTAATCGGGTAGATCATTGGGGTACTATAAGAATAGATATGATAGCTAGCAAGGAGGAAACTAACATGCAGCTTGTCGACCTCATCTTAACATATTTGTAGAAAAATAGACAAAAGACTGTTAGGAATAAGCTAGATTAGTTAATACTGCAAGTGACGTTAAAAGGGGCCAAATGCGCAAAGGTACGTGTTGAATGTGAGTGCACACGATGCACATGCATCTGCATGGCGAGCTCCAAGAACACCAAGAACAGCAGGTTTGGAAACCGTTGTTTCGTCCAATTTTCAACATAATAACCATATAGGGATGTTCAACTAAGCTTATAGAACACAAATAAGTAGTCCATTTTGTCTAAAAGATCATAAAATTAAGGACTCACTTAAAATTTTAGAAAAAATTTCAAAATCTAAAAAAGCAAAATGAGGATCAATGGATGAAATAAACTCGAAATAAGTATCTAGGAAGTAAAATCGATAGTATATATATAGCTAAATTACTCATCCATTTCACGAAATTTAACCAAAATCTATCAATTAATAAAAACCTCAAAAAGCCCTAATACTCTAAATTAAGCCCAAAATTGAAGCTAGGATTAAGCATAGATGATACCCAGAAGTATAGAGGTCGAAAGAAAATAGGGGGACTAAGGGATTATTGGAAGAGTGTAGAATAAGGCTAAAATAGACTTTAATGTTGATATGTTGCAAGTGTGCGACATACACATCAGGTGCCCGACGCCCATGATCAAAAATTTTAGATTGACACTTTTCATCTACAAAACCTTTTTGATACCTTAGACATTAAAAGACTTTAG